CTAAGAATAAATAAACTTATATTATAATTAAGGCGCTTTTAGCCTAGCTAGCTAAGTATTTTAATAATACTAGTCCGCTTATAAAGCGGTCCCGCTTTAACCCTTTTAACCTGGCCTATACTAGGCTTATATTAAGGGGAATTATAAAGGTTAATTTAGCTGGTAGTTCTGGCAGTAATAATAGTAATAATAGTAAAGGGAAAAGGGGCATATTAAAATTAGACTATGTTTATATTAATTATAACGCGTATAAGCGCAGGGCTTATAAGTTTTTTACCGCCCTTAAAAATATTTAGCTGCCTTATAGCGGCCTTATAGCAGGTTTATTTCTAGTACTTTACCAGTAGTTTAATAGTTTAATAGTTTATTAATTTAAGAATAATAACTTAATTTAGGCTTATAGCGCTTTTATAACGTTTTTAATGCGTATTTATAGTATTTTTATAATATTATAATTCTAGATTCCCGCTTATTAATATTATATAAAGGTTTTTATAAGCTTATATTATAAAAGGTATTATATATTAAGAAACCTAGTTTATTATAGCAGCTATACTATAAGGCCGCCTTAAGGCCGCATAAACATTATAGTAGTCGCGTAAAGGCTGCGCTATAAAGCCGCTTTAAGGCCGCGTAAATATTACAGTAATTACGTAAAAGTTTCTCTAGGTTTAGGTTATTATAAGCCGCTTAGTAAAGTAGGTATTAGAGGAATACATAATACTAGTTTTTAATATTATTCTTATACTAGTAAAATAGTAAAGGTATTATAAGTATATATTAATAATAAAGGAATTTATTAAGCTTTATTTTCCTAGTATATAGCTATATAAAAGCTAAAAATTTATACTTATAAAGGTTTTTATATAGTTTAAGAACCTTTTTAGGTATTTTAAAATTTATTAAGCTTTATTTTCCTAATACGTAACTATATAAGGGCTAAAAATTTATGCTTATAAAGGTTTTTATATAGCTTAAAAACCTTCTTAGGTATCTTAAATTAGGTTAGGTTATTTACCGCTTTAATCTCGCAGCATAATTGCCGTGCCTTTACCGCTCTCTTTGCCGCTTTAATCTCGTGGCGTGGTTACCGCGCCTTTACTGCTCTTCTTATCTAGGCCTATTTATCCCCCTATTCTACTAGTAGGGCTTTTTCTAGGTTATTTCTATTATGGGGGTCTTCTTGCCACTTGGTGTTTAGGCGTATTAGTGTGTGCTGGGGGTTACGCCTTGTCTTTAGTGTTCTGGCGACCGCAGCGCATGCGACCCGGATTAATATAATGTATTGATTTTTAATTATTTTCCTTTATAGTTTAATAAAATTTTATATAAATCTTAAATCTAAAATAATATTAGCTTATATTAAACTAAAAAAAGTAAAAAATTAGATAAGTAAACTATTTTAGCGTATTTAGTGCCGCGCTATAACCTGCTAGTCAAGGCTATCTCACGATAATTTTGGCTACCTATTTATCCCCCTATTCTACTAGCAGGGCTCTTTCTAGGTTATCTTTATTATAAGGGTTTTTTTACTACTTAGTATTTAGGCGTATTAGTATATACTAGGGGTTACACCTTATTTTTAGTATTCTAGTAATTATAGCGTATATAACCCAGATTTATACTATAAACTT